GTGTGTGTGTGTGTGTGTGTGTGTGTGTGTGTGTGTGTGTGTGTGTGTGTGTGAACAAGCCCTGACTGGACATGTCGGCTGGTATGTGGCCTATTTATATATTGTGTTTGTTAGGACGGGTCACTGGTGTCCTGAGTGGTATCTTCTGAGAACCAGAACTTCAGCCTAATCTCTGAACATCTACAGCCTCAGGACACCTTCCAGGGTCTCAGAGGCCCCCCAACAGGTCTACACATTATTTCAGTTTCAACATGTCTGTATCTGACAGGCTTCCAGAACTGGGGCAGGACTCAGCGCCTCAGTCGGGTACCGTATGGGTTCTAGTCCGTCTGACGTGATGCCGTTAATAAATGGAGCTCCCAACAAGCCAGAACATGAAGTGGGTGGTGCCGCCCGGATCAGCTGCCCACCGGCAGACGCCCTACCTGTCTGTAGAGCAGAGGGTTTAGGAGGCGGGCCGTGGGCGCCGTGCGGTCCGACTGTACTGCAGTTATCTTTAACGGCCTGACTAGCATTACTAGCATTATTAGCATTATTAGCATTATTAGCATTATTAGCATTATTAGCATTGTTAGCATTTAGACGGACCTCAGTCTGATCACCATGAGGGAGAATTAATTTCTGAGACCCCACTTCCTTCTCTTGGAGGACATAAACAGGAAGTAGCTTGTTGCTATGGAGCTACACTGTGGACCACCGGCTGAGCCAAACATTTATTTTTATTAGGCCTGTGTTTGCTCTCATGTTGGCTAATCAGTGCTATTAACAGGACGCTGATTAGTTGTTTATTCCTGGTGAACCCGTGGATGTTATGACAGGACTGCTGTGACACTGAATTGATTCCTGGTTCTGTCTCAGTATTAAGTTTAAGAAGTGCTGAGCGGGTCAGAACAGTGACAGGCTGGTTGTTTTTCACCGTGCGGTGTTTCAGCTGTACTGGTTCTGTTGCTTCGGTTTCCTGGTGAGCTCACTGGAGGGGAGGGAGCTTCCTGCTGACTCATCGCTGAGTCATCGCCTCACATGACGTTTGGTTCAGTTTTGGTGACAGTCAAGAACAACAACAGTGAACAGCACTGATTTATATGATGTGAACCTAAATAAAGAGCTGAACCTTCCAGTCAGTCACAGAACTTTATTGTGAATGTTTCTGTGGTGTTCTGGGTCGACCCGGAGTCCAGTAACACATGTAGCCGGTTGTTCAGCTGTACAGACCCAGCACTGTGTTTATTACGACACGATGTGACCTCATTACTTTGGTGATCCACTAACGCGATGCTGTTTGCAGTTTGAAGTTGAACTATTTGATGAATCACACAGATAATGAACCGGACCAACCTGTGATCCTCTGACTTATCACCTACTACCAGGTTAAACGTTAACTCATTTCACTCCTATCAGCCTCGGCTACACTTTGCCTTTAACTAGCCAGTGTTAGCATGCTAACATGCTAAACTAGTAACCTGTTTATCAGGCAGAAGGTCCAGGGTTTAGAGTCCAGTGGAACCAATAAAACCCTTCCAGTCATCATGCAGTAACCAGCGTGTCAAGAAGTCAACGGTCTTTGAGTTTCTTCTCTCTCCAGCTGTTTCATTTTTCATGTGGAAAGATTTAAGTTCATTATCTCCACTTCAGGTCTAATTAGCCCCACCGCCCGCCTCCACGATGGAGCAACAGCGATGAACGAATGTCATGAGCAGCTGGTTTATGCTCTGTGAGGTTATGGGATGGAACAAGGTCACCAGAGAACTAAACACAAGCCTTGTACCTTCACTAAACTATCCACCGGACCTGTGCTGGTAACCACAGAACCCAGAGTGGGTTTCTGGTTGTGCCAGAACCATTTCACATTGACACCCCGGTGTTTAGGACTAAAGGTAACCATGTTAGTAACACGGCTGAGCTTTTAGTTTCAGTAAAGTTCTGACCAGGTGTTGCACAAGAACATGCAGCTCATCCCCCGGTGGTTGGGGAAACGCCGTACCTCCTTCTCCTCCTCCTCGTCTTCGTCCTCCAGGTTACTGAGTTCGGCTCTGACCTCCACAGAAGGGGAGGTCCGGTCTCTCTCCACCCCGGCAGGAGCTCTCTCCCTCAGGGACGGCTGGTCCGAACAGCCGACGGGGAGAGCGTCCGGCTCCCGCTGGACCAGCCACGTCTGCAGCTCCGGATGAGGAACCTGCAGAGAAAAGCGTTTGGTTCTCTTTTATTTGTCTCGTTGTGGAGGACACGACTCTCTGCTGGCTGAGAATCTGTTCATCTCCCTGCAGCAGCTCACATGCTCCACGTTTTACAGGCTGTGGAAAAACATCCCAATCAAAGACATGTGGTGCACAGCGTCTCCAGCCTGCAACTACAGCCTTTTATGAGGAGACTGACTGATGAAACGTGGTACCATTCAAGTCCTCTAAGAGCTAAGAACTGGCTGTTTTTTAAGAGTTAGATGAGCAGATCTGTGCACGCTCACGTCTGCATGCTAAACAGGTAACTACAGGTAGAAGCCTTAGCTTAGCTTCAGAGGTGAAGACGTTTCAGACACCTGGCCGGTTTTCCTACCTGTAGCCTGTCCAGAGAGCGGACCCATCCCAGCAGCCTCCTCGCTGTGAAGAACCCGTCCAGATCCACGCTCTTGGGGTGCAGGTTGTGGCCCTCCTCCAGGCGGTTGCGCAGGTTGTGGAACTGCGTCTGGGTCAGCGCCGAGGTCGGACCCAGGATCATCTCGTGCCAGGAGGGAGGCAGGTAGGGCTCCAGGCCCACGTCCACCCTCATCCCACAGAGGCTCAGCAGGATGGCCATCTGGATGAGGCCCTCGGTGAAGTACTTCTTCAGGTACAGCATGGCTTTGGTGGGTCAGGGGACGGTGGTCGATGAGACCGGCAGTCGGTCACCACCACTGGTGTCTCCTCAGCTGTACGGTTCTTGTTCTAGACGTAAAGTCTGTCCAGGTTCTAGAAGGTTCTGCTCTGTACGACGGCTCGGTGTGGAAGCAGAGCGACCAGCAAAAAACACAAATCCTCTTCACTCAAGACCTAACGCAGAAACAACAAGAAAACATTTTTATATAAGATCTTTTTATCTTTGCTTATGGAAATGTCTTTATGTGGAAAACGCTCCAGCACATTATTTACTACTGAGGGATTTACGACACAACCAAAGAACCAAATATTGAACATAAATGTTGGGAAAACTGTAAAATGCACATCATGTTCATCCACAGCACAAACTGATGGCATGTTCAGGTGAGAACAACTGTCCAAAAACCTAAAACACGAAAGAAAACTGACAACAAAACAGTTATTGTTTTCTATTTTGGCATAATTTTTTATCGACTAACAAAGAGAAAATGTACAGTAGACCCACCACTGCTATTACCAGGATTACTGCTGCTAATGTCCAGCGGTGGAAAGTCGCTAAGGGGTGTTAGCTTCACACTTAGCATAAAGACATAAGAGTGGTATTATCTTTTTTTGTTTTTTCAAAATGTCGGCAAGATAGCTAATAAATAATGAAATGTGTGTTCCATTGCTACGTTTACAGTAAAGGATATGAACACTTTCTCCACTTCTTCTAATGTTTTTAGCATTTTGTCACTGCTACTCAGAGAATCTTTTATGCTAGCTAGCTAGTTAGCACACAATGTCAGCAAATAAAAACTCCTCTAAAGTTCACTAACGCCTCTCATCTGTCGTGTAATTTGACACTTAGCTTCAGGCTAGCTGCTTCCCCCGGTTTCCAGTCTTTGTGCTAAGCTAAGCTAACTAGCTGCTGGTGGTAGCTTCACATTTATTACTACTAATATTACTAATGTTGTGTTGGTGTTGTGTTGGTGTTGCTAGTACAACCATTTCCCTGAGGTTTCCACCAACGGGATCAATAAAGTTCTATTCTATTCTATTTAGCATAAAGATATGAGTGGTATCTTACTTTTTTTTTTCAAAAATGTTGGCAAGACAGCTAATAAATAGTGAAATGTGTGTTTTTTTCTACATTTACATCTACATAGTTTTTCGTTTTTAGCATTTTTTCACTGCTCCTCAGAGTTATGCTAACTAGCTAGCTGGCTAGCTGACATACAGCAGCGTGTCTACATACTCCACATGACTACCGTCTGGCTCCTGCTGCTATGAACTGGACTCCTGGCTGCCTGCATGTGCTGCTCATGTGTCTGCTGCTCTGTAGAAGCTGCTGGTAATAATCATAATGATCACAATAATAATGTCACTGGAGCTATCGGCACTGCTGCAGGTTGACAGTTAGCAGATAAGGACACAGTCCGGATCAGGGCTTCCAGCAACTTCGACCTACTTCCAGAAACTCTTCGGTAACCACCTGCCCGCCCTGCCCGCATGTCTTACTCACTGCACCGCATGATGTAACAGCCAGAGCCCGCCTGGAAAAACCCCCTCGCTCTCCCGGCTCCGTCCCTCCCACCAGCCGCTGGTTGCCTCCCACCGCGGAGCCTGTTTACAGCGGAACAGCTGACTGGCTTCAGCTCCACCTCAGGCCTGAAAGCAGCTGCTTGTGGTGGAGAGAGGAGTCAGAGCGCTGCTGCTGCTCCACGGTGTGATGTGAGGTCAGGTACAGAGGACCAGAGGACCCGGGTCCACCTGGGTCCACCTGGGTCCACCATAAAGACTCTAATCTGCTGCTGGGTCTGTTTCCTGTTGTCTGATGTTGTCTGATGTTGTGTTGTCCTGCTGGAGCTGTTGGCCGTTTATGAACAAGAAGCCTCCTCATGAGGTCACCTGGTGTGTTCTGGACCATGAAGTCTCATTCCTTTATGTTATTTTAACACTCTTGACCCAAACAGAGCAGAACCATGTGGGTTTCTGTGATTATTGATCACACCACCTCAGATTTCTGTTTCCTGATCAAATAATCTTTTATTCTCGTTTATAAAAATGACAGAAAGTCGCGTGAAGCTGTTCTTCTCCAAACACGTCTGACGTCATAAGCAGGAAATAAACACACGAAAACAATCAATGATCTGCTGATTGGCTCATTTTAACAACTATTCAGCTGTGATGTAATGTGTTTACAGGTCTAGTAATTAAAGTGCTGAAGTGCTCTTAATTAATTACAACGTGACATCTGGACCTTTATTATTCATACATAACACTGATGCATCCATGTTCAGTAGGTTCTGGTACTGGACTGGTTTTATGATCTATGAGCTCATCATATGTTTGAACTAGTGAAGCTCTAATTAAGACTAATTAAGGCTCTCTGACAGATCCAGAGGAGTTAATGCAGTAATTAATGGGATATAACTGTTTATCTGCTAAACATCCACATGTTCGTCTCTCTGAGTCTGTCCGGGTCTGAATCAGAACCATGGCCGAACCTGAGCAGCACCATGTTCTGATCCGCTCCGGGATGTTTTCATCACACAAACAAGCCGAGAGAAGAAACTGAACTAAACCGGATCCATGTGAGTTACTTTATCATAACGACCGGACCTGGTTTCCGGGTTAAAATCACACACAGTGTCGGTACCGGACTCGCTGCTCGGTGGGTTCTTACCGGAGCCGGTGGTTCGGGGTTCGTTCAGCAGCGGCTCGTCCTGTCAGTCGGTCCGGCTTCAGCTTGTGTTCTGGGCTCTGAGGAGGGTGGGACCCGTTTAAAGCTGCACCCCGACATGACGTGACTGACTCCTCCCTGTGTGTGTGTGTGTGTGTGTGTGTGTGTGTGAGGCAATCCTACTGGTTCTGCTGCTGTGACAGAACAAACACACACCATGTTTGTTCCACTGAGGAAGAAGTTCAGTGAGTTCTGCTGAAACAAACTTTAAAGTTTTATAAATAAACTTCCATAAACATGAAG